GGTTGGCTTACATGTCCTTTACATATTATAATTCCTATTCTAAGTGGAATAGGAAATTAGACTTCCTTTCCAATTCCAAATAGACTTCTAGGATTTCTAATCTAAATTGAATCAGGAAACTAAGATTCTTTCCTAGCCCTTTTAGGAGAAGAATTGGTGCACCCTTTCCCTAAAACAATCCTAAACAGAAAAGGACACAAATTGACGAGCCAAAAACTAACAATCTCCACCTTGGTGAGTCAAACCAAGTCTTGATCGTTTGCACCCCAGAGTATCTTTGAACCTTCTTGAAGTAGCTCTGGAAAACTTCAAGAGTCTTCACCTCGGCAACCTCCTTCTTGCCTCATTGCACCTCAGGTGAGGAGGTGCTCTACTTTAATCAATCAACGAGATTGATCAAGTTCAAACAATGCTTGAACTTCTTGGCCGGCATTATCTTTGTAAGGAAATCTGCGGCATTGTCATCCGTATGAACCTTTTCAATCCAAATTTCCTTAGACTCCACCCAATCTCTGATTCTGTGATACCTTGCTTCAATGTGCTTTGATCTTCCAGAAAAAACCTGATTCTTTGCCAAGTGAATGGCACTTTGACTATCACACTTAAGCTTCACACAATCTTGAGTGATTCCCATTTGACTTACCAAGCCACTAAGCCAAATTGCTTCCTTTCCAGCTTCGGCCAATGCAATATACTCTGCCTCTGTGGTCGATAAAGCTGTAATTGGTTGCAGTAGTGCCCTCCAACTGATTGGTCCTCCTGCGCATGTAAACACATAACCAGAAGTTGACCTTCTCTTGTCCAAGTCCCCTGCATAATTGGCATCCACATATCCTAACACCCCTGCATTTTCCTTTTGCTTCTCAAACATAATCCTTTGTCGCCAAGAACCCTTCAAATAACGCAAAATCCACTTGACTACATCCCAATGTTGCTTTCCTGGATTTGCCATGTATCTGGAAACGACACTGATTGCTTGAGCTATGTCAGGACGTGTGCATACCATTGCATACATGAGGCAGCCCACGGCATTAGCATAAGGCACCTTCTTCATTTCTTGTTGCTCTTCCTCGGACGTAGGACACTGTTGTTCACTTAACCTGAAGTGAGCTGCCAAAGGAGTCGAAACTTCCTTTGCTTCTTGCATGTTGAACTTCTCAAGAACCTTCTGAATATACTTGGCTTGTGATATCCAAATCCTTCCAGTGGTCCTATCTCTCTGAATTTCCATGCCAAGGATCTTCTGTGCGGCACCTAGATCCTTCATGTCGAACTCCTCGCTCAACATCCTTTTCAAGTCTTGAATTCTAGACTTGTCTTGACAAGCAATTAACATGTCATCCACATATAGCAATAGCAATATGATCATCCCATCTTGGAACACATGATAGTACACACAACAGTCATACAAACACCTTCTAAAATTAATTTTCAGCATGAATGAATCAAACCTTTTGTACCACTGTCTTGGAGACTGTTTCAGGCCATACAGGGACTTTCTTAGCTGACAGACTAGGTTTTCTTTCCCATATTCAGCAAACCCTTCTGGTTGAGCCATGAATATCGTCTCCTCTAAATCCCCATGAAGAAACGCTGTCTTCACATCCATCTGCTCAATCTCCATGTCATGCTGAGCTGCCATTGCTAAAAGCAATCGGATAGAAGTATGCTTGACTACAGGTGAAAAGATCTCATCATAATCCACCCCTTCCTTTTGTGAGTACCCCTTAGCCACGAGCCTTGCTTTGAATCTCACGGCATCTTGTTCATGTAGTCCTTCCTTTTTCCTAAATACCCACTTGCATCCAACTAGCTTTCTGTCTTTGGGTTTAGGAACCAACTCCCAAACAGAGTTCTTGTAAAGAGACTCCATTTCCTCTGTCATAGCACTTATCCAACTATCTCGCTCATCACTTGCTATAGCTTCTCGATAAGTAGTCGGATCTCCTTGACTAATGTTAAGAGCATAATTAACTTCGTTTTGGTCAAACCCAAACCTGTCAAGTTTCTTCTTGTTTCGCTTAGGTTTGTCCAGTGCTATGCATCTTTGGAATGCAGGTGGATTGATGGGTGGAGTTTGACTCCTTTGGGATATCTGGCGGATTGGAGTACCTTCAATCTGTCCTGTTTCTTGCTCCACCTGATTCCTAACTGGTGAATGATGCTGATGCTCTTCTTCTTCCTCAAAACCATCAGATTCGGCCTCTTGCTCAATTTGCTCCACTTGAGCTTCTTCTTCAACTGACCTGATTAACGGAATCTTTGTTGCTTCAATTTCAGCATCATCCTTCTTCTCCCTACTGCTCTCGACTTTATTCAGAGGCATGGTTGTCTCATCAAAGACAACATCTCGACTGACAACCTTTTTCCTGTTGTTGAAATCCCAAAGCTTGAAACCCTTCACTCCTTTCTCAAAACCTAGGAATATGCAATGTATAGACTTCGGTTTGAGTTTGGACCTTTCATCACTTGGAATATGTGCATAAGCACTACAGCCGAACACCCTGAGCTTGGAATAATCCACCGGCTTCTCAGTCCATACCTCTTCTGCACTCTTAAAACCGAGAACTGTAGATGGTGATCTGTTAATCAAATAACTTGCATGATTAACAGCCTCTGCCCAAAAACTATCAGGCAATCCTGCATGAAATCGCATGCTCCTTTCTCTCTCCATGAGAGTTCGGTTCATTCTCTCAGCAGCTCCATTTTGTTGGGGATTCTTCTTTACTGTGAAGTGCCTTATGATGCCTTCCTGCTTGCAGTAATCGGTGAACTCATTACTTGTATATTCACCTCCATTGTCACTTCTCAGATACTTGATCTTTCTTCCAGTTTGATTCTCGGTCTCAGTTTTCCATTCCTTGAACTTTGCAAAAACCTCGGATTTCTGCTTCATGAAATAAATCCAAACCTTCCTAGAAAAATCATCCATGAAAGTAACAAAATACTTGGCTCCACCATTTGATTTAGTTGGAGCAGGACCCCAAACATCTGAGTGAATATAGCTGAGTTGCTCCTTACTTCGGCTATCTGCACTGCTACTTGCGAATGATACCTTTCTTTGCTTCCCAAGAACACAGTATTCACAAAAGTCCAGTTTGCAAGCTGACACGCCTTCCAACAAGCCTTGCTTGTGTAATTCTTGCAATCCCTTCTGGCTTATGTGCCCGAGCCTATGATGCCATAGTTCAGTCTTGTCTTCTATACTTTGATTTACAGAAACAGCTGCTCCCCCGACTATAGTGGTCCCAATTAACTTATACAACTTATTGGGTTGTAGGTCACCCTGCATTACCACTAGCGATCCTTTGGTTACCCTGAGTCTTCCTTTTTTAGACTTGTACTCATAACCGGCCTCATCTAAAGTACCCAAGGAAATCAAATTCTTTCTTAGTCTAGGGACATACCTGACGTTCCCTAAAGCTCGTATCATCCCATCGAACATTCTGATTCGAACAGTGCCGATTCCTCTTACAGGACATGAAGAATCATCCCCCATTAAGACTTCCCCGCTGCTGACTTCTTTGTAAGTATCGAACCATTCTTTTACTGCACACATATGAAACGTGCATCCAGTATCCAAAATCCAATTGAAAGCCTTGGAGCCCGATGTTACCGAAAGAAGTTCCCCGTCACTCTCATGTTCGGTGACTGCACTAGCGGAACCTGAGCTTCCTTCCATCTTGGCTTTCTTTTCTTTCCAAATCTTGCAGTTCCTCTTCCAATGATCGGCTGAACCACATTCGAAGCAACCTTCCTTCTTTTCCTTTTTCTTCTTGGATTTTGACCTACCTCTGTTGCCAGTTTTCTCTTCCCTTGTCTTTTCCCGCCCCCTCTCCTTGCCTTTGGCATAAAGGCCTTGAGAGCTTTCAGTTATATCATCTAGTTTAGCATATGACTGAAGAGCTTGAATTACGTCTTCAAGCTTCAAGGACTCTTTTCCAAACATTAGAGTTGTTCGAAAGTGCTTGAAAGACGAAGGTAGAGACCTTAGCAGGATGATAGCCATATCATCATCTTTGTAAGTTTCTTCGACTTTCTGAAGATTAGCTATGCAATTCTGGAACCTGCATACGTGATCTTCAATATCACCTCCTTCTTCTAGTCGAAGCCCGAATAGTTCATCCTTTAGAAAAAGTTTATTGGACACGGTTTTGCCCATATAAACATTCTCCAATTTTTCCCATGCTTCCTGGGCAGACATCTTTTCGGTGATGTGTGACCGAACTGATCTTGTGAGATGGATCTCGATGGAACTCTTGGCCTTCTTGAGAACCTTATTCCATGCTGCTTCTGTCATGCTTTCCGGCTTCTTACCATCAAGTGCATCATCCAAATCCTGCTGTATCAGTACGTTCTTCATCATCCTTTGCCAGTCCGTGAAGTCATCCTTGCCGTCAAAAGGTTTTAACGCAGGTCCTTGATCCGCATTCATCTTCCCTTTTAACATCGTAGAACACCTTGATCCTAGCTCTTGATACCAATTGTTGAAAAAAACTCGCACACTGGACCTTGTTCTTTGATGTAACCAACGGCAATAGACTAAACTAGCAAATATAGAAAACTTAGAAACACACAAGAATTATACTGGTTCGGCAGAACTTATGCCTACGTCCAGTTGTGATTTCCCTAGGTAGAGAAATCACCGCTTCTTTGATTAATAATAGAGATTACAGAACTTATGCAAACCCTAGAACTAATCTCAAACCTCTCTGCTGTTTGGCTGTTTTCTCTCTCTACTGTTAAACAGCCTTGCCGCACCCTATTTATAGATATAGGGTTGGCTTACATGTCCTTTACATATTATAATTCCTATTCTAAGTGGAATAGGAAATTAGACTTCCTTTCCAATTCCAAATAGACTTCTAGGATTTCTAATCTAAATTGAATCAGGAAACTAAGATTCTTTCCTAGCCCTTTTAGGAGAAGAATTGGTGCACCCTTTCCCTAAAACAATCCTAAACAGAAAAGGACACAAATTGACGAGCCAAAAACTAACAGAACTCTCTCCTCCCCTTACTCAATCCTCTGCTTCTTCTTTGATTCATGGTTGGTTGATTTATAAAAAACCTTCAAGGATAAGTTTGGGGTGGGATCTGGGTTTTCTCTGCATTACTCAAATTTTGCATTTTTTTTTTCTGGATTTCAATTAAGAAATTAATAAATTTGGGGGTTTCTGATTTTGTGTTTTGCTGTTTATATGCTGGAATAACAGGACAAGGAGGAAGACAAGGAGTTGGACCCTGGATGTGCTCTCCTTCGTCCATCATGCGTCTGCATGTCCTCATTCACAGGATAAGTACCATCCTTATACTTGATTTTCTACTGTTTTGTTTGGTTTTAATTCTCTCTGCCATTCTCACTCCACTTTCTCTGTCTCTCACTCAGTTTGAAGCTTTTCAACTTTTCGCACAAATTGCTTAAAAATTCCAGCTCTCAAACATCTTAGATCCCTTACTCACCCTTCTGTCATCGACACCCCAAAGGAAGTTAGTAATTTTGATTGTTCTCTGGGGTTGGTTTTGTTCATGAATAAAGTACTGTGTTTTTGCTATATTTTGGTTTCGAGAAGTTGATGGTTTTGGGTTATGTTCTTTTTTCCCTTTTTTCTCAATTCTCAGTGAGTGGCACTTTTTCTCAATGGAAGATGATAGTTCAAATGTGTCAATGGTTCTAGAAATGCAATTACAAGTTTACGTACATTCAGTCTACCAACAGCATTTCTATGCGCACAAGTCAGACACATGGATATGTTCCAATCTCTGCGACAAGCACTACTGCGAGGCCACTACCATATGCAAATATCTACATACATGTCAGTTCCCTTTCTCACCCTCTTCATGTTTTACCCAATATTATGTTTTTTATCTGATTTCATGGGTTTTCTTGACCCTTTTCCATTCTTTGATATATGTAATTTGTTGTTATGTTTTCAGGATCTGGGTCTTTTTTCAATTTGCATTTTGGTTGTCCAAGATTTCCAGGTTTTTGTATAAAAATATAAGAACAAAACTGCACATTGAGGAGTTTATGATGAACTTTTTGGAGTGTCGGTAACACTTCACTTTAGGAATATGTAAAACTACTAATCATTGTTTGATAATTCCTTACATATGTGTGTAATGAACGACTTGGACTTTACCATAAATTAATTTAATTTCTATTGCAGCAAATCTGGTCATTTTCTGTGTAAGTTTCCCCTCATGGTTCAGTTCTGGCATTCCCCTCAAAACATCGTTTGTCATTTCCACTTTTTCTGTGTTCAGCTTACATACCTTACGTATATATTGGAGACTACGACGATAAAAGATGTCAGTTGAATGTATATAAAAGCCTGCTTATCTTATCGACCTCATTCACTCACGTGTCCTTCTGTTCATTCATGATTGTGTTGAATTTATTCAGGTTAAATGTGTTTTATTCATGCAGTTGCGTCTAAAACAGTTGATTCCCGCCGTAACACGCGGGAATATTTTCTAGTTATTTCTGTACGCTTCCATTTGCTTTCATATGCTTCATCTCTCCATAAATGTCAAAAAAAAAAAAAAACCTGTGTTTATCCAAATCAATCCTAGAATCCCGAAAGCAAAATTCATCCAGATCGTTCCAATCTCCCTTCTCTCAGTTCCTTCCCGCTCGATTCTCTCTGGCTGCTCTCTCTAAAATACCCACTCGCCGTTGCCTTCTCTCCGATGTTTCAATTTGCCGGCGACGACTTCTAGGATTCTGGTGACGGCCAACCTCGAGGTTGGTCTCAACCGTCTTATCCCCAATCCCCGATATCCTCAGGTTTTCCCCAAAATTTGATCGTTTATGATTCTACTCTCAACAATTCTCCCCATGGATGCTCAACGTCTCCTCTCACTCTCTCTCTCTCTCTCTCTCTCCAACTGGTAGAGTTTTTTAATTATTATTCCAATTTTGGTTACTGGGTTGTGGAATTTACAGATTTTTTTTTCTGGGTTATCAACAGTATATATATGCATGACAAGTATAAACAACATTTTAGGCACAGGTTGAAAGTGCAGTGTTGACAGTCCGAATTTGTATACATTGAGAGCATATAGTGTCAAAATTTAGTCACAGGTTCATATAACTTTGATAAACTTTGTCATCCGTAAATTTATTCCGAATATGGAATTATTTTGATCTTAAATATGACATTTGGATATGCCCAGTGGTATTTTCCTTTGGTAGCTCAAATCATCTCATATCATTAAGTGGAGTTTTATGTTTGATGAGGCCATTTTTTATAGTTAAGGGTGTAAGTTTAGTTACGCCTTTTCGCTGTTTTCAGTAAAGATGGTACCGAACTTTCATGTTTCTTGATTTTTTTGTTGACACCCTTTCAGATTGCAATGGTAAATGGCGGAAAATCGAGAAAGGTCAATGGCTTTATTCTAACATGGATGGCTTTATTCTCTATATTTAAGTTATTCTGAAATGGTAAATAGTTTAGATCCTTTTTTAATTTTAACTTCTAATGTTCTGTTACTTTTTGTGAATATTCAATTTTTGCCGGGCATTTGACCGGATATCCAAGGAGCATTTAGATGGAGGGTAATACATACTTTTTTACATGCCATATAATTTTGTTGAATACACATACGATAATACCTCCTTTCACATAGTATGAACCAAAATATATGAACAAAAACTTATTTTTTTGAAATGTTAATGTACTTATTGAAATGTTTTTGTAATTTTTTTAGACTGAGGAGGAGCAACAGAGGCTCATAGAACTCCAATTTGTTTTGATGTCGCTGTTTGCTTCACAAACCTCTACGCTTTGCTTCCACACAGTATGTTTGAGGACAACTCTACACCTTAATTTCTGCTTTTCTTTGATTTCTGCAAGTTTGAGGGTTGGGTATAAAAAAAATGCAAGCTTTTGCATAAGTAAAATACTTTTTGCTTCCAGCTTTTTGCTCTGATCATCTGGGTGCTTTTTGATGATCATCTGTTTTCGGGTTTTGATCTATCAATGCAAGATTGTATGTCGTGTTTTTTGTCTGTTTGAAGTGTTATCTGATGCTTAAGATTTTTTTGTTTTTTTGTTTTTTTGTTTTTTTAATTGTTTGGTAATTTAGAATTGGATTTATGGGTTCAATTCAGTTTTAGAACTATAAATGGAGAGTTGGGTTTCTGTGCAGGAGTTGAGGTCAAAAGTGTAATTGATTGGAGTTTAGAGTGAGTTCGTCAAACTCTTCATCTCCAACTTCGCACCATAAACTAATGACTGTGATATGGACACTTGGACACCTATATGTTAGTTATTGTAAATATGGTTGTAAATAGATTTCCACATGAATGTAAATACTGTTGCATATCATAGCTATTTAGAACTTTCAACATGTTTTATACAGTTTTAATACCCACAACATTGCGCGGGCATCGTCACTAGTTAAAATTCTATAGCTCAAGAGTAAAAAAGTAATACTCAAATTTATGCAGGTTATGCTGTGACTTACTAACATGGATTCTGAGTAAACTCTGAGACATTGAGCATGAAACAATTATTTGTCTTCCTTGTGCCTTCTGCGGGTATGTTCTTTGTCGTCAAAACTACGACTTTGGCTTGAAGCTGCTTCTTTACAATATTCATATGTTCACTTCAAGATTTTCAGTGTTCGTTTGAGTTCTTTCAAATCTTGCTCGTACACCAAACGAGCCCCGCACTTCTTCACCACATTCACTTTGCATTCGTTCATTCCGAGTGTATAATAAGTTTTAAATAGAAACTGTTCTTGAAGACATTCTTTGCGAGGCAAATAGAATATCCAAAGGTGTTCAGAAACAAGAGGCCATTTAAAGGACCCTGTACTCCATGTACTCTGTTTACGGTTAGTCCGAGGTAAACACCGAATCAAGAATCCATCAATTTCAAGGTCAGCTAGATTTGGCCAGTTCTCCTTTTGTTTTTGAAGAAGACGCAAGATCTCCTTAGGTTGTGCAAAAACAACACAAAAAGCAATCCCCATCCAGCTGCTACACGATTGCGGAGGTAGCTCCACATCTAGCGCATGTCCCGAAGTTTGATTGTTGAACCACTCGGGAATCTCCTTTCCGGGGCAGACAATATGATTATAAAAACTATAGATTTTCTGCACCAAAAGAACCATTTTATGAGAGAGAGAGAGAGAGAGAGAGAGAGAGAGAGAGAGAGAGAGAGAGTACCTCAGTTGCGTATCTCACGATCCTTGAATATATTGTTTTGATCCAGGTTTCATCTTCCACCAATGTAATGCAATTCAGAGAACTGAAAGCAAAATCATACAAATTGGATGGATCCGACAACCTTTTCAATGAAGTACAATCAGTTACATATACGTGTAATTTCCTATTTGGCGGAAGATCTGGCAGTTGCTCGAGTCTTTGGCACCCCGTCAAACAAAGATGCTCAAGTCGAGAAAGGCATTTGATGCTTGCAGGAAGGGTAACAAAATTGTTTCCACTAAGATCTAACTGTTTTAAAGAGGACAAGCAACCAATATCATCGGAGATATCACCTTCACCAAGATCACAATAACGTAGTCTTAACTCCTCCAAACAACGCAAATGATATAAAGAAGACAACACCATACCTGGACAAGGAACATCACTCTTTCTAGTTCCAATTAAACGGACAAGGCTCCAATCATCCCTTGGTTTACCAACTTGTCCAGAAAGCCCAAGAAATTTGAGATTTTTCATATTAACAAATGGCTCTTTTGTGCACGTATTGATACTCAGTTTAGTCAGGCCAACCAGATGTTCAATCGATGAAGGTAATTTCTCAATCGCAGTCCCACGTAAAAAAAGCGTGGACAAACTTTTCATCTGGTTTGAAAATTCTGGGATCTTTTTCACTTTGGAGCATTCAGTAAGAATTAAAGACTCAAGAGAATCCATTTCTACCTTACTTGGGAGGCTCTTAATACTTTTACAGCCACAAAGATTCAAATCTTTAAGTTTTTTAAGAACTGCAATAGATGGGTGAATCTCAACCAAATTCTTACACCACATAAGAATCAACTCCTCAAGATTTGGAAGACCAGTGAAATCTGGGATGCCAATCAATTTATTTGAGTAGCTCAGATCAATACATTTCAACTTGGGAAAGTTCTGTACAATATATGAAATAATATATAAGCTTCCGAAAAACCTTATAATTCTATTTGACATTAAAAAAAAAAAAAGAGTAATGATATATTTACCACTTATTTGTACAATTATTTATACCATCTTTCTAATAGAGGTAGGGCCCGCCAACGGATGTGGATCTCATCTCTACAAGAGAAGTGATACAAATGATGGCACAAATAGGTAGTAAGAGTAGCATTTTTGTTATAAAAAAAAAAAAGAAAAAAAAAAGATTTTTTCTTAGCACCGTATATATGGTTGAATACACCCCACAAAAATTTATTTATTACATACTATTTTATAAAATGACTATTTAGGGCCTAATAATAAGTTAAAAGAAAAAATCTGCAAACATTAAGAAAAATGATATTATCACGGGGGAATCCAATAACATCTAGATGAAACTAAGGCAATCCAATAAAAATGACACTTGTGCAATCATCCCAATAGATCGAAAGACGAAGGAGCTAATTGAAAAAATAAGAAACATTCAAGGTAGTATACGCTGCAAGAAAGGAAAATGATCCCTAATTGACAAAAACCCCAAAATCTATAAAAATAAATAAATAAATAAATAAAATAACCCATAAAAAAATGTGGGGTATGTATAAAACAACCCATAAAAAAATATGTTACGTAGCATTCATTCAATATACTCTTACCTCTTTTCCATCCCATAAACGAACAAGTTTGCTATGACGCATTCTTAGTTCGGTAAGGAAACGAGGGTGAAAGCTTGGTGGAAGAGACTTGGAAGGATACCAACTCCAAATTATAATTCTCAAAGAACATGGAAGAAACTTGGGACTTGAAGAAATGATCAAATTGTCCAATTCTAGAAACCTCAATCCATGCATATTAGAGAAGGCTTCACAACTCCAGTGCACCTCTTCTATTTCAGGTAGCTGTAATCCTATACCTTCAATAGCTCTTGTTCCCTAATAAACAAGAATGTAGGAAACGTAAATTTAACATTTAAGCATATTGCGTTAAAAGAAATCATGTCTTCTTTCGAACTTGGTATTTACATAATGTCTTACCGTATTGGTCGTGAATATATGAAAAATGTCATCGGGAAGCCACAACCTACTCCGTAGACCGGGCTCTTTAGACTCTTGACCAACAATTGTCCATGCCATTTCTTGTATCAAATCATGCATCCCTATGAAGTACTTGGCTGAATTATCATATTGGATGCGTTTTTCAACAGTTAAGAGAGATTTCTCAATTAGTAGATCGATCATAATACTACTAGAAACTTCAAAAGAATTGTCTAGTATTGGAATAACTTGCTTCATGCACTTCCCTTTGTGGAAACATGCAACATCGAGAAAAACTCCCTTCTCCATGTCCTCTAGTCCGTCATAACTGATTTTGAGTGTATTGAAAATTGTTGGATCAGGAACCGTATGAATATTATCCAATACACTCTTCCATGCATCCTGACCCCTCGTATGCAAAAAAGACCCCAATGTTTTAAGAACTAGTGGAAGGCCTCTAGCATATTTTAGGAAATGCTCTGAGAGTTCCAAAAAGTCTTTCTCGGGTTGTTCTTTCCTAAAGGCATTCAGACTAAAGAGCTCAAGTGCTTCGCAGTAATTCAACCCCTGCATCTTATATGATGTTGCTATACCATGTTGGACTAGCAACCCTTCATTTCTAGTCGTAATCACAATTCTACTTCCCATACCAAACCAACTTTGATTTCCAGCCAGTACTTCTAGTTGTTTTAAATCATCCACATCATCGAGTAGGAGAAGAACCTTTTTATTGCGTAAGCACTTCTTAATGAAAATGATTCCGCACTCTTCATCCCAAATTTCTTTAACCTTTTCCTTCAACATCGGAGAAAGAAGTCTTTCTTGAAGACCAATTAGAGTACGGTCTTTTTTAGAAACCTCTCTAATGTTTCCTAGGAAGGAATGAACTTCAAAATGATGGAAGATTTTATCATAAACTAGCTTAGCAAGGGTTGTCTTACCTATGCCACCCATCCCCGTTATCCCTATAAAGCGAACATCATTCGCATCATGAGCTAATAGCGAACTTAGTTGCTCAAGCCTAAAATTAACCCCAACAAATTTCTGTGAAGAATCTAACAATGTGAATGTAGCTTGCACTTTCCTCCACACGCTTTGGACGATTTTTTCAACAAGCTCCCTTTCACACCTACAAAGTATGAAATAACCAATAAAAAAAAACATAAACGAAGCATTCAAGTTTGCCTGTACTAAGACATAGGAAATTATAGTTGTTCATGCATGCTTACTTAGATTCCTTCGAATGCCACCCAGAAATTTTGGATACTTTTTTCAGAGCTTCTCTCCACTGGGTCACCTTCATCTTGTCTTCGGTACTAATGAACTTTTCTTCATGCTCATCGAAGGCTTTGGCAAAAGACCCCCTCTGATTTCCAACGTCAGATGGATCTGTCTCATAAAAGACTGGCAGAACTGTGTTCCTGGCTTCCATGCATTGAAGAATGGTTGTAAGTTCATTCAAGCACCATTTGGAAGAAGCGTAGTTTGGTGAGAGAACAACGATTGCAATATGTGATTCCTTGATTGCACTCGGGAGCTCAAGATGAATACTTGTTCCTCCTTCAAGCTCTCGATCGTCAAAGAAAGTTGTAATTCCTTGGCACTTGCACAATTCATGGTATAAATGAGATACAAAACCCTTGCGGGTGTCTAGACCTCTAAAACTCAAAAACACATCATACTTCCATCGAGGAGCGGATTCATTCGAAACAAAAGATGCAGAGGCTCTTTGGGTGCTCAATGCCATTGGAAAAAGAAAAAAAAAAGAACGGTTGCTATAAATCGAGTACTCCGAACAATAACTGAATGAAAAAGTAAATAGATAGAAGATTAATGTTTTAAAATTTTAAAAAAGATTGAAATTTTGAAACTTTAAATCTTCTTTTGGTAATTTACAAAATGCAATTTTATTCGTAACTAAAGGGACTCATTGTGGTCAGATATTTAACTCAGTACCAACACATATTTGACAATTCGATTTGATCTTACAGTCCTTAATAACTCAGTTTCAACCGTTGAATCAGATTCAGTTATTGGAAAAATGGGTTCTGCAAACAAAAAAGAGAAACAAAAACTAGTAAGTAAAACAAAAATGAGCAGTGCACAGGAAAATAGAAACTTTAAATCTTGTTTTGTCAATTGAAAATGTATATTAAGAAAAAGAGATTAAGGACTCAAAGCAAATACCAGAAAAGCAAAATACTGAATCAACACAAACTTACACGGGCAGAGAGAAGTGAGAAATGACAAGAAAAGAAGCAGAAAAATCACACTCAAGATTCTCACGGCAAAGTTGTAGGAAGAGAGGAAGTCGAGAGAGAGGTAGGAATGGAAATAAATGGGAGAGAGAAGGACAATCAACTACTTCTACTGGTAGTGGTCCTGTTGGTGGTGACCACACGGTTTAGTGTGGGTCATAGTGAAAACCAGTGTGAACAGCCAACATTCTACACACTCCTACTCCTGCTCCTAAGTTGGACCAAAAATAATTATTCTTTCTATGTGGCCTCCATTCATTCACTCGTTCCTTCCTTTTGTTCTTCTCTTTTTTTGGAACGTCAAGTATCTGGACGCTTTCCAACTACTTGCTTGGTAAGACTCTAGCGATTTCTGACTTGTGAGATTGAATTAATCTAAAGTGAAAAGGACAAATGAAATCATGGAGAGAAATTGGTTGAGATTGAGGCATCATCAAGGATTATCTTTCAAATGTTATTCAATGGGCTATATCTCTATTAGAGAGAAATTTTTAATGTTTACAAAACGTGGATCTTTAGTTTACTTTCTTGGTTTGATTGATCATGCAATTTAACAATTAAATATCATTTATACAACGAAGTGCAATGACTGCTAACCCTTTTTGCGGAAAGCGTTTCTACAACTATTGCAACAGGCAACATCTAACAATATGTGATTCTGTATCGGATAGCAGATAGATGTTCGGATAGGTTAGCTCCCTCGGAGATGACCATGTTATCTGTGTTATAGAAGATGATCTCCCGGGGAAGATTTTTGCAACTGGTAGTGTGTGCATCGAAAAGAAGTTCATAGGAACTGACACCAGATAACGAAGATCAAAGAGAGTGAACACTCACAGATAAACAACTCGCCACTCTAAGGAATCCACCAAAGAGATAAGAGTTTATGGATAGGAAGAAAAACACTATTCACTAAACCAAGTTGAGTGTTTGCAAAAGAGGTGATGTAATATTTCAAATGAAATCAGCGCGGACAATAGTGTGTCCTTTTTTGCTTTCGTATTTCCTGGAAATTGTAGTCTCCCAAGGGTTTGACAGTATTGCATGCATCTTTGGAGCATTTGATGTAAAGTGCTTGCTGCATTTTCCAATGGCATTGAGCAAGCAAAGAGTCTCCAATTCTCCAGCTGCTGCTCCGTGGGAATACGACGTGTTTATAAGTTTCAGGGGTGAGGACACGAGGGATAGTTTTACAAATGATTTATATGAAAAAGTGGTCGGCAAGCAATCAAAACGTTTAGGGACGACAAATGATTTATAGCTCTTGAATGCAATTGAAGAATCGCGGTCTGCTTTCATTGTCCTCTCACCAAATTATGCTTGCTTAGATGAGCCTTCACATATTGTTGAATGCTTGTCAGATAGGAAGACCATTCGACTAATTCTCTACAATTATATGCGTCTTGTGTAGTATTTGCACAACTTGAAAGACATGGATCTTAGTTATTCCAATGACTTGATGAATAAAGTGGATTTGATTGGTATTCCGAATCTCGAGAGCTTGCACTTTAAAAGTTGTACAGATTTTGCTCGAGATTCACCCATCTTTTGCAGTTCACAAGAGGCTTAAAGTTTTGAAACTTTATGGCTGTAAAAATACTGAGTATCCCAAGTGAGGTGAATATTTCAGTCTATCTGGCTGAGCAAAAGTGAAAAAGACTTCGAAATTTTCTGGTTGGCCTTGTTATACAGAATCTGAGTCATTGCAAAAATCTCTTATGCCTCCCGAGTGTAATTTGCAGTTTGAAAGTCTCTTATATCACTCTGTCTAGGTGCTCAATCTTAACACACTGAGGCCCTGTTTGGTACACCGTATAAGGCACCGGATAGGATTAATAATACGGTGTACCGTGTTTGGTGACCATTTGGATTAAATAAGCACCGGATTAAATAATCCGGGCCCACCTTTTTTACCCGGTGCTTACCTGCTTAGTAATACCGTGCAAATACACGGTACAAATTAGTCGGGCTTCGGTTGGAAAGAGCAGTTCCTCGCCATCTCTTCCTCTCCAGTGCTCTCCAGGTGCTCTTTCTTCCTCTCCAGGCACTCTTTCTTCCTCTCATCCCAGGTTCGTCTTCTCAACTTCTTCTTCGTTTGAATCACAATACTTTTCAGATTTCTTCTTCTAGGATTCCGCCCCTCCCTCTATTCTTCCCCCTCCTCCTATTTTTCTTGCAATTTTCTTTCAATTGATTGAATCTAGTTATCATTCTCTCTAATTATGCAATTGATTATGTAATTTTGTGTTTTAATTAGAATTTTTGAATTTTAGGGTTTTCTATTGGGGTCGAATTTAGGGTGTGTGTTTGTGCAGCGTGTGTGTGCAGGGGGTGTGTGTGTGTGTGTGTGCAGGGTGTGTGTGTGTGTGTGTGTGTGCAGGGTGTGTGTGTGTGTGTGTGTGCAGATTGTGTGTGTGTGTGTGTGTGTGCAGATTGTGTGTGTGTGTGTGTTATGCAGATTGTGTGTGTGTGTGTGTGCAGCGTGAGTGTGTGTGTGTGTATGTGTGTGCAGCGTGTGTGTGTGTGTAGCGTGTGTGTGCAGGGGGTGTGTGTGTGTGTGCGCAGATTGTGTGTGTGTGTGTGTGTGTGCGCAGATTGTGTGTGTGTGTGTGTGTGTGTTATGCAGATTGTGTGTGTGTGTGTGTGTGTGCAGCGTGAGTGTGTGTGTGTGTATGTGTGTGCAGCGTGTGTGTGTGTGTGTGTGTGTGCAGGGTGTGTGTGTGTGTGTGTGTGTGTGCAGGGTGTGTGTGTGTGTGTGTGTGCAGATTGTGTGTGTGTGTGTGTGTGTGTGCAGATTGTGTGTGTGTGTGTGTGTTATGCAGATTGTGTGTGTGTGTGTGTGTGTGCAGCGTGAGTGTGTGTGTGTGTATGTGTGTGCAGCGTGTGTGTGCGTGCGTGTGTGCGCAGGGTGTGTGTGTGTGTGTGTGTGTGCAGGGTGTGTGTGTGTGTGCAGGGTGTGTGTGTGTGTGTGCAGGGTGTGTGTGTGTGTGTGTGTGTGTGCAGCGTGTGTGTGTGTGTGTGTGTGTGTGTGCAGATTGTGTGTGTGTGTGCAGCGTGTGTGTGTGTGCAGATTGTGTGTGTGTGTGTATGCAGATTGTGTGTGTGTGTGTGTGTGTGTGTGTGCAGCGATGTGCGCAGATAGTGTGTGCAGTGTGTGTGCAGGGTGTGTGTGGTGTGCAGCGATGTGCGCAGATAGTGTGTGCAGTGTGTGTGTGTGTGTGGTGTGCAGCGATGTGCGCAGATAGTGTGTGCAGTGTGTGTGTGTGTGTGTGTGTGTGTGTGTGTGTGTGTGTGTGTGCAGCGTGTGTGTGTGTGTGTGTGTGTGTGTGTGTGTGTGTGTATGTGTGTGTGTGTGTGTGTGTGCAGCGTGTGTGTGTGTGTTAACATGCTTCCTTCCGTTTTCAGTGTTATTATGCATTCATGCTCCAGTTACTTAATTTTTTTGCCACTATCTAATAATGTTATTTTATATTATCACTAGACATGGATCAAAGAAAGATTGCGGCATGCTTCATTGTTAGCGTGTGGTACTTGAATATTGTGACTTGGTTGATGATGTGGTTCATCAAGAATCATAATTCAGCTAGAAGGCGGAATCGGCAACTTGCACTTAGAAATCGCACATTTGTTAGGAGAATGGTAGGGTCAGCCTATTTAGATAGCATAATAGGATATGATGATGTTCAGTGTGTGAACCAAATTAGAATGGATAGAAGAACGTTCCACTATTTATGTCAAATGCTTCGTGACCACGGTAGAGTAAAATTGGATGGTGTAGTGACAATGGAAGAACAAGTTTGCATGTTTTTGCATATACTTGCACATCATGTCAAGAATCGTACAATTGGGAGTAGGTTTTGTCGATCGGGGGAGACCATAAGTAGGTATTTCAATTCCATTCTACATGGAGTGTTAAGGCTACAAGGTACACTTTTGAAAGTGCCAGAACCCATTCCTAATGCCTACCCAGATCCTAAATGGAGTTGGTTTGAGGTATTCTTCATATTTTATAAAAATTACTTCTAAAATTAATATAATTAAATATATTGAGCATACTAATGTTAATGATTTTTTTTAGAATTGCTTGGGGGCATTGGATGGGACTTACATTAACGTTCATGTCCCTGAGCGAGATAAACCAAGATACCGATCAAGGAAGGGAGAGATTGCGACCAATATGTTGGGAGTCTGTAATGTGGACATGAATTTTATATTTGTGTACCCAGGTTGGGAAGGGTCGGCATCTGATTCTAGAGTACTCCGAGATGCGATAAGTAGACCATCGGGATTAAAAGTTCCCACGGGTAACAATAGATTATTTGTTTATATTAGTAATTTGAATCCTCATTTTTCTTATATATAGTAACATACATTTTTTTTGTGTGTTAGGGTGTTACTACCTTGTGGATGGTGGGTACACAAATGGTCCAGGATACCTTGCACCGTATAGGGGAGTGCGTTACCATCTCTCGGAGTGGAGAAATAGAAGACTCCCGATTAATCATGAGGAGTATTTTAATATGAAACATGCTCAAGCTAGAAATATCATTGAAAGATGTTTTGGACTACTTAAGATGCGTTGGAGCATCTTAAGAGGTCCATCATTTTTCCCAATTAAAACACAATTTAGGATTATGACAGCATGCTGCCTATTACATAATCTTATTAGAAGACATATGTCAGCTGATCCAATAGAAAATGAAATCCTAAACTTGGACGAATCTGAAAGTAGTGATGATGATGAAGATATGATTGACAGTGTTCAACCTACACAAGAATGGACTGCATGGAGAAACACTTTGGCTATGAATATGTACAATGAGTGGCGTGCACAAGTGTGATTTGATTAAATTTTTTTACATATGCATGTTGTGATTTGGTTATGGTTTGTTATTTGAACAAATAGTGATTTCTTATGTATTCGGTTATGATACTTTATTCGAACAAAGTGCAACCTGGTTATGTATTTATTTAAAAAGTGTGATGATTTGCTTATGGTTTTTATCACTTACTATTAATTATATGCATTATTGATTATATGTCGTAATGCCAATATAAAGGGTGTTCCACATGTTGTGTATGTAA